TGCTGCTCTTCTGTTTAAAGTTATTGTAAAGTGAATATATTTAAGTGATATTACATTTGTAGACAAAAAAATCAATCTGAAAACGTCTTATTGGTTTTTAGGAAGTTGTGATGGACATTTTTCCCGACATTTTACTAATTAAATTAATTGCTCATCAAATGAAATGAGTTGTTATTTGCTGCTCTGGTTTATGCAACGATTTCTGCTGCTGCATCTGTGACAAGAAGATGTCAGTGAGAATTACCTGGCACTTTAATTCCGTACACGTTGGCTTCTTTGATGCAGTCAGCCACTGTGATGATGTCAGCCACCTCAGTTGTGGCCACATTTTCTCCTTTCCATCTGTTGACGATAAAAAACTAATCTTAGAGGCTGCGTGGCACCAAGAGGTTTGAACTGCACGTGACTGAAACACAACCTGAACGTGTCTCCGACTCGGTCGTGGAAATAGATGAAATCATCCTCATCGATGCGCAGCAGGTCGCCAGTGTTGAAGTACACGTCTCCTTTCTTGAAGACGTCGTGGAGCTTCTTCTTCTCCGTCTGCTGCAGGTCTCGGGCATAACCAGAGAACGGAGTCCTCGCTGATATTTCAGACACCAACAGTCCAGACTCACCTGAGGGAAAAGGTTCAAACAGGAGAAGTTGGTGAGGTGGCCCCACCAGTCTTTCATGGTGTCATGTACAACAGAGACCTGGAGGCAACAGACAAGAGTTTAAAGTCAACATTCATTATAACAATTATAAAGTGACAGTGTTGTTGAGCACAGGGATCATCTATGATTGTATAAAATGGAATTCACCGAAGTGAAAAGTGCTAACTGGGTCATAGCAAGGATTTCAGAAATACTGATGTCATACGTCCGAGTAGACCTCTGCCAAAGAGGTTATGATCTCCCTCCCTCCATCTCTTTGTTTATTATCAGGATTACTCAAAAACAACTGAATGGATTTCCATTAAAACAAAAGGATGAGACATGGGCCAGGGAAGAACCAATTAAACTTTGGTGCAGATCACAGATTTCTCAGTCAACTATGATGGCTCTCAGTAGAGTGTGTACCTCTGCCAAGGCCCAACAGTCTCCTTATGGAAATACATTTAAATTCACTGGATTCTGATTTTTATTTGGATCTGCACCAAAATCCAAACGCTTATAAATACCAATCCCCTTAACGTGTCAGATTTTTTTTCATCCAGATCCATGAATTATTCTCTGAGATGTTGAAAAAGGTTATTTCCTGACCCATGGTGCATCCTTCCACCATGTTTTGTGGTAATCTGTCCATTATGTTTGTGTAATCTTGTTCATAAACCAACTAACAAACAAACTGACAGTACCAAAGTGTTTCTACACAATAATAATTTCCTTCTTTACTCCACTGGGGATATATTCCAGTGTCTGTATTGTATTCTAGAATTGTCAGATTTAAGGACACTGAGTTTAAAAATGTATTGGTCTTTTGAAAGCAAACTAAGGCTAACTTATAACATTTAAATTGTAACCATATTATTTATGGTACTGACAAACCTTTCGCAGCCTTTATGCAGAACCCAGAAGAATCCCGCACAGGTTCTCCTCCTTCTACGTTGTATTTGACCACACAGAATGGGAAAAGCATCTGTAAAACAAAAACAATAACCATATTGATGAACACATTTAACTTCATAATGTAGGAAAGAAAACATGAACTTTATTTACCCTGTTGAGGAAGGAGTCTCGCCCCACAGCTCCGATCTTGCCGGTGTAATTGTACAGAGCGAAGTTCCCCTCCGTCGCTCCGTAAAACTCTCGGATTTTGATTTTCCCAAACCTGCTGAGGAATTCCCTCCAGACATCAGCTCGAATCCCGTTGCCCAATGCGAGTCTGACTCTGTGGTCCCGATCGTTGGGTCTCTGACAGGAAAGACAATATACGAACATCAGAACGGTTTTGTTGAATATTCTTTCCTGGTGACAGTAGCTGCGTTAGTGTTAGTGCTGCCACAGACGGTACACACCTTTGGTGTGTTGCAGAGGTAACGCATGATCTCACCAATGTACTGTACGACAGTAACATTATATTTTCTGCAGTCGTCCCAAAACTGAGAGGCAGAAAATTTACTCCTCAAAGCCACAGTGATACCTGCACACAAACAGCAAGGTGACAAACAACAACCATGGAGGAGGAGGTGAGTGACATTTTTTATTATATAGATTTTAATATTTTCTTAGCAGAAATTTTTGGGTTTTTTTTTTCATTGGATTTGTTGACTACAGGGGAAATTTACAATAACCCTATAGCCTCCTCCTTGAACTAAATGACTGTTAAACCCAGAGGTGTGCGTACCTCTCTCAATGGCTCCGGTGCAGCCGAGGAAGCCGGTGCTGTGATACAGAGGGAGGGTGATGTAGATCACATCACTGGAGTTCACTCCTGATGTGCGCTGAAGCCAAGATAGGAACCACAGTTTGGTGTAAGTGATCACCGCTGCTTTAGGGAGACCTGGTGAAGAGAAGCCAGAGGCTGCATGTAGCTGACATGTCACTGTGGAATCCCACACGTTAGAGCCTCGAGTAGCTCACCTGTTGTTCCAGATGTGTATATGTAGGCCGCTGGACTGTGCAGGGTCACGTGTGACCTTGAATCCTTGGGCAGAGGCTCAGAAGAGGCCAGGCTCATCTTATCTGTGAAGCTCTCCATGCCGACGGTCGTGCACGTGTCAGTCAGGATGTAAACAGTGACCTGCTGCTCCAGCAGAGTGGGCAGGATCTCCTCCACTGCATCCTGCAACTCTGGAGATAAAACCCAGTGAGCACGATCGTTCTCTGACACTGAGACTTGAAGATATCTTGAAAAAATGTGATCACAATCACAGCGAACAGTGTATAAATATATTGTTGTTTTCTTTGTAAGAGGCCACAGATAAAAACCTCTGGTAGTTTTCATATCTGTAAAATATAATATTTCGTAACATGGTCCCACATGTACAATCTTATTGGGCAAAGTGCAACTTAACCTCGTAAATATATGTGTTGGGTACAAGTAACATAAAAGGAAATACAAGTACAAATACCTAAAGATTTTATGTAATTCATGGCTGCATCACCCAGCCTTAGCGAAATGTATAATATTATGTATATAGTAGGAAGACAATTAATTCAATAATAAATAAATAACATCAAATTCATTGTGATAATTATCGACATTTGATTTTGTTAAATCTTGGTGTAATTTTTGTCCATATAGCTCTGCTCTAGTATTTAGTAAATGATGCCACAGGATCTGGAATCACTGATTAAATACTGTGTATGTGCACATGGGTCCTGAGCTCCACTGGGTGTTTTACAGGCTGGAATGACATTAATAAACCTGACGTGTGATTTAAATTGTATAAAAAAACTTCTATTGCTCCTCAAATAGTTAAAGAGGGAAAATGCTCTGCAAGATTCCGTCAAACTCCAGGTGTGAGCCAGATATTTAGTTACTGACTTTAAAGATGAAGACAATGTTAGATGAACTGATGAACTGATGTTGGATTTGTTCTGATGAAAGTGATGCTGCAGAGACAGATGTGTTGCCAGCTGTAAGTGAATGAGTGAGATGGGACATATGAACCTGCAGCAGCCACCAGTGTGGACGCTCCGCAGCAGCTGAAGCAGTGTAGCAGGGACTTGGATCTGACGTTGTGGTTGAGGAACGCGGCGGAGCATCCGATCTTCGCCAGGCCGAGCCACAGCCACAGGAACATGGGCTCGTTTCCCAGGAACATCGCCACCGTGTCGCCCTGCTTCAGCAGGCCGCTCTGCACGAACACTCTGGCGGCCTTGTTGCTGAGCGCGTCCGCGTCCCGGTACGTGAACGTCTCATCCTTGAAGCGGAGGTACGGTTTGAGCGGATGCGTCCTCACCGCGTCCAGGAACCGGTCCAGGACAGTGTAGTTGTTCCGGATGTGTTCCAGGATCAGGCGTCCCGTTTTGACTTTGTCGAGCACGTGTTGGAGGTCCAGGTGGAGGTAAGGGAAGCGGAGGAAGAGGAGGCCGAGCAGGAGCACAGCTGCACACAGGATCCAGAGGAGCATGGTGGCGTGAAGAGGAGTTCAGCCAGAGAGACGAAAGTTTCAGAGGGAGAGAGGGGGAGAGGAGGGTGGGTGAAGGTGGTGAGGAGAAGGAGCTCAGAGAAAAAGTGAAGGTGTGGAAATCATTTACAATCTGGTTATAAACTAACTGAGCTGCCACAGATCTGGAATGACGGATTCACACTGAGTCCATTCACTCTTGTAGAGAGAAAATGCTCTGCAGGATGCCTTCAGGCTCAACCTGTTATTCATATTTATTTTCACACTTGAGGAACAGGAGCCAGTGAATTTAGAAATGTCATTATTTACCTATTTAAATTGTTGCCATAAATTTTGTTTTTGTTTGAACCAAAATGAGCTTTAGTTAAATATTAAAGAGGTAGTACATACTAAAATGTGTTTTGGAGCTATGTGCTCCCTATTACCAAATCTATAAATTAAAATTTACATTTATGGATTGGACATGCCAGGAAATAGTGAAAAAATTGCCCACTGTTTCAAACACGCTCAGTAGAATCAAACATTTGTTGAACACATTCATAGACACTAGTTCCCTAAGTAAGTCTGAGGTCATCAAGATCTATGAATTATTATTATTATAAGAAATCAGTGAAAATGCCAAAAAAAAAAATCTCACAATTGTAAAGAAAGTGATACAGAATATTCTGGATCTTTGTCTTTGAGCAGATCTGTGGTATATTATAGTGGATTTTTTTTTCCCACCCTTCCACTAAGTTTCGAGGAAAATTGTTCAGTAGAGCTTGATAATCCTGCTAACTAACAAACAAACAAGCGGGGGTCTAATAAATACTTATCTCTTGTATAAACAATATTTTAGATTAGGAACAACAGGATTTGCTTCACAAAAGAATTATTCTCTCAATTTTCAATAAAATGATAAGATTTATTCAAATGAATTAAAGCAATAAATATAAATATAAAACATTCATACTCATCTGTACACAGTGTGTCATTAATAAGACAAACATATTTACAAAATATAAAAACATAAAACACATTAAAATCTAAGTCTGGGAGAAAAAAGATTGCAAAAACAGTGACATAAACTGCCAGCGTCTCATGTGGTGTCACAAGTTCAAATTCACGGTGTGGGCAGAGCTGCGGCTTTAGACCTGAAGGCATTTCTTTTCAAAGTGCACAAATCCCTGATGTACTTATCAGGCATATCAGGTCTACCCAACAGGAAGAGAACACCTGAACACTCATGGACATTAACCTCCATCAGGTAACACTGATATTCATAACTAACTAACTTATCGCGGCTGTGTTTATCAAATCTCTCGGGCCAACAGTAAGACAGCAAAGACACTGAGCACCAATTAATCTCACAGTTTCTGCTGCTCCTGCTGAGGATGTGAAGAGCAGCACAGTGTTGGGAGTTTCAGGACAGAGGCAGGTTTACTCAACACTGGTAAATAAGTCAGTACACCCTTGTTGAAATAGGTAAATCCTTATTAAGTAAATTGTTTCAACCCGGACGTACGGCAAAACAACCACAAACTGCAGAAGTGGGTTTGAAATGTAACAGAGAAAGAGAAACGTCTTTGGAGTGTTGCCTGAGGTGACAGATCGTACAATCCACAGACAGATAGGTTCTTATAAACTTGAAGAAATAGTTTGAGATTATTGGCAAATACGTTTGTTTGCTTTCTTGTTGAGTGTTGAATATTTGCAATGATAAAAAAAAGCACAAATGAAATGAAACCAGGGGGAAACAGCAAGTGTGGCTTCCCACACAGTGAACACTGCAGCTGTGCAGTTCTTTTTTTCAGCTCGTTTTCTCATTTAATCTGGTTTAATCTCGCAGTCAATAAATAGTAAATTAACTTTAAATCTTATTTAGGAGCAGCAGTGAACATTTATTTTGTTACCATTTGTTAACTGTTCCAGTTTAAACCATGTTAGCCAGCTGCTCACTCTAGCTTCATGTTTAGCTTACAAACATACTAGTAGCAACTATCTCATCAAACTCTCAACAAGAAAGTGATTGAATGTGTTCGCCCATATGTCAAACTTTTCCGACAATCTTAACGCAACACACAGACATAAAAACACTGCTATCAACTATAGAGGCAAAAGTTCTACACTCATGTAAACTTTGTACACTGTATTGAAGGCACTATTTGGTAACGTAACTGAAATCACCCTGTCAATTTTGACTACTTCATATTTCACCTCATATCTGCCTCTACACTTTGTCATTTTTGTTGGTATAACGGACTTTCAAAGCCACTGTCCTGCTGCCGCTGCCTCAGCTCGGAGAACAGAGGCCTGGAAGCAACTCTTTGCTGCTGCTCAGCCTCAGAGCCAGGGGTTGGCTCTCTGTGGGTACTCATCTTCACACTGGGGAGGTTTAAAGTCTGGGTTTGAGGCGTCTTCTTGGCGATTTCATTATAAACTGTCAGGTCGGACGCATCCGGGGAGAGGCCCCCGAACTCTTTAAAGATGCCGGCCGATGTCACAGAGACAGAAAACGGCTTCACCGGTTCTACTTTCCTCCCCGAGAAAGAGAGTCGGGGAACTTGGAAGCTTTTATCTGAGTCGCTGCTAGTCATGCTCCAGTCCGTGTGTTTCTCACCTCTCACAGGAGCCTCCTGGAAGAGAAAAGCTTTGCTCTGTTGGTCTGAGTCTGGCTGGTTGTCGGCTCCCGGTGGGTACAGATCCCTGCTCTTACTCCTCACAGGCGCTCCGACTAAATTCACCTGGGATGAAGAGGCCATGTGATGCAAAGAGGTCGTCTGTTTGGATGGTTTGTTGGAGAGAGGTTTTGTGCGAGCAGAAGTTTGGGGTTTCTTGGCTACGTCCTCAGGGGCCTCATCCTTCCCAGAAGTAGAACTGTCCTGGTGACTCGAAGGTTTAGTCCTGTCTGCAGCAGTCTGCTCTGGATCAGCTGACATCTTTCCCCTTCTCTCCTCTGCTCTGATGTCCGGAAGCTCAGGTAGGGTCGAGGGGTTCTTATTGAAAGCTGCGTTTCTAACTGGAGGGCAACAAACAGTGGAAACAGTAGTTGAACAATCTGCTGAAAACAAACATCAACAAAACATTTTGAGGGAATAATCCACAGTAACACAGCTCTGAACAACAGGACTCACTTGGTAAACTGTAGTTCTTTCCAGATTTACTTCTGACAGGCGTCTCTAGCACTTTAGCCATGGCCGCCAGCTTGCTTGCAGCATTCATTATTTTCTTTTCAGCGCTGCAGAACATGAGGATCAATACAATTAGCCTGAGGAGCCATGATGAAGCAAGCAAACAAACTTTAACAAACAAGTATGGCGTCTTGCCCTGTGGTTTTCCCTCCATCCTCCAGTAGCTCCTGCAGACAGGTCAGATAATAAAGCCGCATCTTTCTGGCAGTGTCCTGTCGCTCCCTCTGCACCTCCATGCACATCATCTCTGCTGCTCGCTCCCGACTCTCCTGGAGGTAACGCAGCATGTCCTCTGTCATTAAAAAAGAAAACCACAATCACAAGCTGTGAGTTTGATGAAAACGTGTGTGTGAGCACTGACTCTTTCCATCGCAGGTGTATTATTGTAGATTTACCACCCATTAATTAGTGTTCATACGACTGAATTATTTAACTCCACAGATACAAACAATAATGAATCAATAAATGATAACAAACCTCTGATCTTTTCTACAGTCATCAAATATTGCTGCTTCATCTCTTCCAGGCCGTGCTGAAGATCAGAACTCCTGCAACCAAAAAAAATCTGTTGGTATTGTTCAACTGAAATTCATAAACACAACTAATGTCATCTATGAATGTTACCAACACCATCCTGAAACTTCATCTGATCACTTATATACTTTTTTTCCACTATTTCCTGGCATATAATAGAGATTAATCGAGAAAACAATAGACAAACTGAATAATAATGAAAATATTCATCAATTTCTATATATTGTCATAGCATTGCATCCATTTGTCTTAATGATCCAATAAATGAAACTGAGATTTCTAATTTTTAGAAAGACTTCGGGTTCACAAGTTCTGCCTGAGCTTGTCATCTTCATGATGAAGGCAGATTGATAGATTTTATAAAATAGGAGAAGATGGTTGTTGCAAATTGCTACAATAAAATACTGCAAGTCGTGTGATTCATTTTTGACATATGTTTGTATATAACAACAGATAACAGGTAATCATACAGCCAGAGAAACAATACATACCTTCATTAAGACTTTACTAAATGAGAACAGAGGTGATAAAAACAGCACAAACCCTGAAGATTCTTTGGCTTTCTTCACTTCTTCCAGCTGCTGCAGATGTTCCTCCTTTGCCTTTTGTAAGCTGCGCTCATGCTCGTCTACAAGACATGAAGCATCTCATCAACATAGAGGCACAGATGTAGTTGAGTAATACTTTTTAAATGCCTAGGAAAAAAATGTACCTTTGAGACGCTGCACTGTGGTTTTGTGTTCTCGAACACTGAGCTGGAGCTGACGGCAGGCTTTCTCCAAGTGTCTCTGGAGCTCCTGGTTTTTCTTCTGCAGTTTACTTGAGGTCTCAGTGCACTCCTTCCTGCAACGAGCCGACTCCTTCCTCTGCGACAAAGAGCCTGGACAACGTGGATAATATTGTTCAGTACTTTGTTGATGGGAACTTTGATATAATCAAATCGGTTAATGCTGAATCTCAATGATTAAAGTTGAAATGTTTCCCGATGCCATGTGAAGTGAAGAGACATTACATACTCAGCATTTTGTCCATTTCTTGTTCATGTTGTTTCTGGGTTTCTTTTAACACAAGGCTCAGTCTCTCCTCACTGATCTGAAGGACAGAGATGAAACCATGAAGCTACTCAAACATAGAACCGCATCAGAGACACAATCAGAGACTACAATAGCAGTAGTAGAGCACAGACCTCCGCCAAGGCCCGACAGTCCCCTTAATACCACCAAACGTCATCAAATTTCACAGACATATTGATACCAGTCTCCTAAATGTTCCTGATTTTTTTCATCATGATCCATGAATTTTTCCCTGGGAAATTGGTCAAAACATTTTTTTAAGTCCTATCGCTCAAGTCTTCCAGACTTAAACTTCATTCTTCCACCATGTTTGATGTCAGGCCATCCAGTAGTTTTTGTCTGATGCTGACAAGGGTGGAGGGAAATATTAACATTTTTTTAAGGAACAGCATATAACCAACGCAGCACTCTGTGTTTTAGCAACAGTT